AGATATATCTGACAAATGCATATCATTGTCTGATTGTGGCTCTGTTACACAGATTGAGTCACACACATACGTGTTTACGTTACATGGTGTCACTCATTATGATAGAGTCACGCATTGGTCTGTGGGGAATTAGAAAACGATAGCCCACACTGTCTCGTCTTCAGAAGATTTTATTCTTCTCCTCTTCGATTCTCGCTAGATTTCACAACTCTTTGACTCGACTGACTGACAGATTCCTTCGACTCAAAAGCTAATTCAATCACAAACAATTGTTTGTTATCTTCGAGGCACACCTTAGTTAAAGTACGCTGATTGGTTAGATACGAATCTTCTAGACATAAGAACAACAAAAATTTCCAGACAAACATTTCACAATCACCAATTGATATCTATGGTATTATCCTGTTTCCGGCACATTAACTTGTACTTGAAAGTATAAGTTGAGGTCGACACAGACTAGGGAGCATCTTGCAGGGACATGAAGCGATTGACGAATTGCAGCAACAGTTTTCCTTGCGTGACATGCCTGTTTTTGCGAAAACGTTTTGTTGCGGGGACAAACTTTTGTCCTCGCAACTTCTTGCATGAAATTCAGCTGGTCTGAATTCGTGCCTCTTGAAGCAGGGACAAAATGACCTCAATTTTCAGTGTCGCATCGTGTAAACTTACCTTGCAAACTGTGTCCACTACGACACATTTTTGTGCCTCAATACGCTTCGTGTGCACCAGCTTGCGTGCTGTCCCAGCAACATGCGTCCCATAAGTACCCACGAAGGGACTAGTCTTCGCTTTAACACGTCCCTGCATTTTGTCCGCTAGTGTTTGCCGATCTTAACGAATGCTTGTTCCAGAGTTTTCTTCAAGGGTTCAAAATCTAATAACGTTTTGATGACCACTGGTGCCCGCTTTTTTTGTTAACTGGCGACGTTTTGCTTGACAGAGAGGAAGGCTTTGAACTGTAGCAGGCTTAACAGATCTTGTTTGAGCCGCTAATAGATATTAAGCTTTTCCTCTATAAAAAAATAAATAAATAGATACAGTTTGATTTCTAGTTAATGCAACGCCTGATTATTTAAAGAGATCGCGCTACCAACGAGATTTCCCAGCGATCAGCCAAGCTCATTTACGCTGGTTGTGTGTTGGCTCTTCAAACAGCACTTAACTTGGTCTTGTGGATAAACGGCTGTCCAACAGTCTGGTAAATTGCCAAATCCGTTTTATGTGCTGGGTAGTTTTTGCATTAGATCAAGGTATCGGGAAAGTAATAATCTTTTTTTTTTTTTTGTATGTTTGGCTTTCTTTTCATTGTATATTGGTAACTTAATTTTACTTTATGAATAAACAAATTATCCAGGATTGTCCTACACTTTGTTTTCGCACTTGCCATGTTTTCTTCAGTTTTGTGCCCAGGCAGGCCCTGGGGTATGTACTACGCATGCGTAGGAAGATAACTGAAGTGTAGAGATATACCTTATTGATTACTAACTTAAGCAGAGACAATTTGCTATTTTTTGTTGGTTACACAAAAAATACTTGTATTTTAAACCTTTCAAAAAAAATAATATTTGAATTTTGTAAGACTTGGTGGGGAGGAGGGGGTTGGGGATAGGGGGTGTACTCGCTTGACTCGTAANGTCGAGGCAAGTCACGTGATACATCACAGTGTTGGAGGAAGACACGTGCGTGGCCTTCAATGTTCACGTGCGCTGAGCCGATAACAATCATCGACAGTTTTGGTTTAGCAGCCAGTAAGTTCGTTTCATACACACACACAATGGACATCGTTGAAATACGGCTAGTGCTGAAAAATTCTTGAAGAATTCTAATTGCCATTAAGTAGTGCTGAATCTGTGTCGAGGTTTGACACTCTCGGGAACGTTTCCTCGGAAATCTTCTGACTGAGTTTGTTTTGTTTGTGTTTTCATTTTGGTTTTGTGTTGCCTTACTCTGGTTTTTCTGGGGGTGGGGCGGGGGGGGGGGTTGGTGGTGAGTGGGGTACCAATTCGCTGCGGTGAACATGCTTGAATCGTAAATATAAAAGCCTTTAATAAGAAGCCACCCAACGCTTCCAGTCTTGGTTGAGTTTTTCGCTTTGTTTGGTACGTCTAGTTGGTTTTTATTTTAATTGAGAAGTCGTGTTTGAAGCTTTCTGCTCTAAGTACATGGCATGCTGAAACCTGCTATCCATCCAGGACTGGTTTAAAGAGAAGCCTGGTTTAATGTCTTCCTGTGGAGACTTCTCTACTGCTGAGTTTATTTCGTACACTAATTAATTAATGTTGCTTGTATTTAAGTAGTCGAGTGTCTGGTTTTCATTGTCATTTTCGATTTAAATGGAGTGTTATTTAGTCTTAGTGTTTTATTA